ACCAAAAAAAAAAGAAAAAAAAAAAAGAGGAATTGAAAAAGAAAAAATAAAAAGGAGGGTAATGCACGTTAGGAAACACAAAACCCACTTCAACCCATTGTCAATAAAGACCATTGTTGATCCCTTTTTCGTAAATACGCATACGACGGTGAAATCTTGACCATTATTGTCCCCACTTCACAAATACGCATATCTACGGTGAAATCTCGACTCCTCATGTTAACGACTATGGTCAACAAATTTTCAAAATGTAATTGTGTCCATTACAAAAGTCTTTTCTGCGGCACTTCTCACCTTTCTGCCACTGTGAACATTGAATTTTTCGAACCAAACAAAGTGCCAACCATTTTTGCTGAGGAAGGTATTTGAACTTTTTTATAGATAATTTTTTTAAACTTGCAGCCATATGTAAGGAACTTTGTCTATTATTTGGATGGTGGTCATATGATTTCAAGCATCCAAAAAGGAATTATGCCCGTGCGTCATTTTTTTCAAGATGACCGATTTGATGAGCAAGCCCTTTGATTTATCTTTGTTTTGGTGATGAGCATGTTCCGACCTTGGTTCTCGATTATGAGCTGGACATTGATTTTAGCAGAGATTTAGAAGCTAAGCAGCAATATGTAAACTTTCTCTGTTTTGATATGTTTGTTTAAATTATTTGCTTCATATACTTCTTTTAGTAATCTATGCTATTACGAAGTAGCTAGTAGTTCATGGATTCGGTGTTCAGTCTCATCATATGCATGTTTTGGTTGGTATTCATCTTAGTTAAGTATGCATGTGCTAATGTTACTGAAATTTTCATTTAATAAAATGTTCTAGGGATAACTTTGGACTGGATTTTGAGCCACGCATGAACTAGTTAGGCTTCACACAATTAGATTATTTTTTGTGCTACTAGTTAATATGTCCTTACTTCGGTGTTCTTCATTTGTATACATCTTGACGTAATACAAAATGACATCGATAATGTCTTCCTATCTAGGCATATTTAGTAGCACTTACCTAGTAACACATAAATCGAAAGCGTTTTGAGCAGTTTCTTATTTCTCTCATCCTTTTCCTTAATTTGTCAATGCATTGTTTTCTCTTTTACTTCGTTTACTGTTTCGTGTCCATTCACAAGATAAAGAGATTTGCGATCATTTTTGGCTTTCTTTCACTTGTGATAGTATGATGGCTTATTTTGTCATAGAAGCAGAAATTATGGTGGAATCCGATGGATTGTTGGTGGAATTCGATAATGAGAATATGGATGACAATATGATCATAGTGGATTATGAAACATTTGGAGGAGATGATCCGATTATGCTAGCAGTGGGTATGAACTTCAAAGATGAAAAGAAGTCTTTGACTTTTATAAAAGATATACTTATGCCGTTGGTTTTCCAATTCGAAAATGGAATTCGAAAAAAGGATGACGATGGAGTTTTGTGATATGTGACGTTGACATGTAGTCAAGAAGATCAACGACGTGGTAATACAAGCGGTTCTTTGAAGCTACAACCAAAAACTTAGATGCGTTGTAAAGCAAAGATTTCTACATCTTCCGATGTACTTGGTACCTGGAGAATTAACGCAGTTTGCTTGGAGCACAATCATAAAATAAGTCATTCAAAATCCAAATTGTATTGTTGCAATAAAGAATTGAGTGCACACGTGAAGCGGAGGCTTGAAGTTAATGATATGGTAGGAATTCCTTTGCGCAAAAGTTTTAACTCTGCAGTTGTTGAAGTAGGTGGGTATGAGAACTTGACATACGTGGAAATAGGATTGTTGAAACTATATTGAACAAGGGCGGCAACTAAGACTTGGAGAAGAAGATGCCACGGCCATACAGTCCTACTTTTCAGAAATACAAGCGAGATGCTTGGGCTTTTACTTTCGTATGGATTTGGACGATGAATCATGGTTGAAGAATGTGTTCTGTGTGGACTATCGGTGTAGGAAAGCATATAAGGAATTCGGGGATGTTGTCACATTCGATTCCATTTACTTCACCAATAAGTACGATATGCCTTTTGCCCCTTTTGTTGGAGTAAATCATCATGGCCAATCAACACTGCTTGGTTGTGGTTTGATATCGAATAAGGACATGAAAACTTTCGTGTGGCCGTTCAAGACATGGCTTCAATGTATGCATGGTCAACCTCCACACGAAATAATTATAGATCAAGATAGTGCCATGCAAAATGCAATTGAGATTGTTTTTCCACATACAAAGCATAGATGGTGTTTATGACATATTTTGAAGAAATTACCTGAGAAGTTTGGATATTATGTGAATAAGGGTTCGATATTTTTACTATACGCGATTCTTATATGATTCGTAATTTATTAAACAATTTGAAGAAGGTTGGAAAGCAATAATCGATACATTCAAGTTGCATGATAATGACTGGTTGTCGGGACTATATGAGAATAGAGGGAATTGGGTTCCTTGCTACTTCAAAATAACGTTTTGGACTAGGATGTCAACAACACAGCAAAATGAAAGTATGAACGCCTTCTTTGATAGTTATGTGCATCCAAAGATCTCGTTGAAACAATTTGTTGAATAATATGAATGAGCACTGCAAAATAAGGTTGAGAAGGGATTTTAGTTTGATTTCAAGTCTTTCTCACTGATGGTACCATGTGCTACAACATACGAAATGGAGAAGCAATTTCAATCGGTCGACGCTATTTCCAAATTCCGAAAAGTTCAAGCTAAGTTTACTGAAAAAGTTTACTACGGCCTCGTATCTGCTTTACAAAGACATTTGGGGATGACGTATGAAGTACGGGAGGATGTTGTGTTTGTTGATAGCCGAACAAAAATTTTTTTTATGCCTCATTCAGAGAGAGACATGTGACATTGGTTGCAGTTGCCACTTCTTAGAGTTTTGTGGAATAGTTTGTAGGCATGCGATTTCATTGTTGATTCTTAATGATGTTACCGTACTGTGGAATCACTATATACTGAGGAGATGGAGGAGAAATGTAAGTAGAGCATGTATGAGGGTACCAACTAATTACGATGAGTTGGTGAATACTCCATCGCAGTTGAGGTACGACAATATGTTTTAGGCATTCACCTCGTTGGCAGACCTTATAGCAATGATGAAATCCGGTGACGTACGGTAATAGATTGGATTCAATCTATAAAGAAAGAGCTTACGATGCCAACACCAAGTAGTGGAAGTAATATCTTATTGCATCACACTTTTCAGTTATCCTCACAAGGTACTGGATCGCAGAATACTGTCGACGGAAGCATAAGCGATCCTAAATAGTCAAAGAAAAAGGCGGGTCTAATAAATTTCAAAGGAAAAGCCCTTTGGAGATGCATTTGAAGAAAACAAAGGTAGATATATTAATCCATTTGTCACTGTACTTAAAAAACTAAATTCTAATTATCATTTATTTGGGGTGTACATGTAGGTGCTGTCGGCATCATGCAAAAGAAAGAGACCAACAGCGAGCCATAGTAGCTTGGCAGAGGTTGCACCAAATGTTCAGGCATCTCAAGAACAATATGTCATGCCAACACCATCATTATGATCACAACAATTCTTGGTAGGTACATTCATTTCTTAATTTTTGTGCGTTGGATGTTTTATTTATGTTGTTAGTTTATGTAGAACGGTGAGGAAAGTTATGCATTTGCACAACACATACCATCATCTAATATGATCCAGTTGGCGACAACAAATGTTTTGTTAAATTCTGATGGTAAATCCTTATCTAAATACACTACTTTCAACTTCAATCTTTTATTTGCACGTATCAATGTCTATTTTTGGATGTTAGGTAATGTGGTTTACAACTACTATCCACATGCACGGTATCAAGGGGCACAGGCTTGTGATGGGATTTCAAAAGGTAATATTTAAATATTTTTTTATTCTATGTTGCAGCCTATTATCCTTGTATCTGCAATTTATTCGTGTTTACTCGAGGTTAATGTAGCTTTGGTTCAAGTTTAGCATTTTCTAATAGGAATAAAAAATAAATCGTTGAAGCAACAAAATGTTGTCAATGTTAAATGTGTGATTCCGTGCCAAAATTGATGTTGAAGAAATGGAAGATGAGTGCACACCACCAACTGCCAATGAGGCTTCCAGTTCAAGAGTAGCACTGGTAGATGCTAGAAATTGCACAGACGTTAGGACATTGAAACATACTGTCTATTTTTTTGAAGATAACATGGATCTTAAAAAGTAGTTTGTTGCTGGTTTTGGTTTTTCAAGGAAGCATGCGTAATTATTTACTATTTGATTGATTGATGTATATGATGATATTGTTAGTTGTATATCAATCTAGTTCTTGTGATATTATGTATTTTGCACTTCTCTTGTGCATAAGCATGATTATTGCTGTTTTTTTTTTTTTACACTTTTTAACATTTTATTTAGCACTCAATGTTCATGGTTATTAGTCATTTAGAATTTGATCAGTTGATGAATGTGATGATTTTATTAGCAGTGTATCGATCTAGTTCTTGGGATGTTGCAGATTTCGTACTTTTCTTTTACATAAGCATGATTACTGCTGTTGATGTTTAAACTATTTTGTGATAGTCAGAGAGAAATATGATAATTCTTATGATGTCAAAATCCTCTTGGTACATTCATAGTGTTTTTGATGGACATGCCTAATGGTTGAGGTTGTTTTGTGAATTTTGATTGGGAGAAAATGTCACTAGTAACTAATTCCTGGTTTTGTATATTAAAAATTTTACACCTTGTGAACAAGGCAGGTTAGGTCATCCAAGCCCTACACAACTGGTGCTAAGGAACTCGACAATCGTGATTTGGAATAGAGCTGTACACCTCATAACAACTACAAAAATATAGTTTTCCAATATGCCTTCGAACACATTTATCTTATCCATATCCATCGAGCTTATCTCATTGAACGCCTACAAGAAATTTATTTTGCAAATCTGGAGTTATGTAACATTACTGACTATGAGATTAACTGTATACTTGTGAGCCCAATTAATTTCATGGAAATAAACATCAATTAATTAACATGTTGCTCATTGAAGTCACAAAAGTTAGATAGAATGTAGCTATTTCATGGAGCTGCAAATTATTATACAAACAAAAGTTGTTTGTTCACTTAACACATACACAAAACCCTTAAAGCTAATCAAATATTAACCACTGCTCAAGCCAACCCTTTCCCTTTTGTGCATGCGTTCGCAATGCCTTTTCCCTTGTGGGTAGTCACATTCACAGAAATACCTATTTTTTCTTCGTCGTTTGATCAAACTTGAGATTGGAACATATGGATGATATTGTCAGATGTTTCATTTGCCACTTCTTCAGCCTTGGTAATGCTAACGGTACTCGATTCACCAATTGCTTTTCATTTTTCGCACCACTCCCAAAATCTGTACTTAATACTGCAACATTTGAAAAATTTGCCTTTGTCAGCAGTCTCTCTTTCAACCACAAAAACTTCTAAAACCCATTGGTACACTGTGGGCATCGACATTTTATTGGGCAATTGACGAAGAAGTGTCTCTTTCTCTTGCATTCGCGACATACTTCAGAATTCTTACCCACCATCTTGAAAACGCAAGCACATAGAGAATTATGAATGAGCATACCATAAGAAATGAAAATCATAGAACTTTTTAGCAGTAAATAACTAAAGTGTACCACTATCAGCCACTCCTTTCACAATAAATGAATGATACGAAAAAAAAGAAGAGAAAAACACGACAACATCAGCTACTCTATTCAGAATGCCAACAACTGAAATACAGGAAACAGTTTTCCTCAAGTTGCATTAAAAAAACTCAAAATCAGATAACAATAACTAAAATTCAAGAGATGGATAGTATAAAAATTGCAATAGCATATACAAGCATTTATATTCCTAAAAAAATTAAGAGATAGGCTAATGCATGAATAAATTGAAAAAAAAGATTACTGAAAGAACAAATAGCTCACAATAGCACTTTGATTTACATAATGCTGTAGATAAATCACTAATTAAACCACATACTTGTCTTCTGAGTCGTAATATCGTGTATGAAGTAGGATTTGATGGACGCTTGAGCTAGGTCTTCATTGTTTCGCGATGGCTGAACTATTGAGACCGTAATGGCCTTGACGAACAGTCAAATATGGGCGATCGACCGGAAAGGAAGAGTACTGTTGGAAGTAAAACTTAACAGTCGGTAAGTGACATGGTGCTTCAAAATTCAAGATTTCGCAGGAAAGGATGTCATCGGTTTGGAGGGTTTGAAAATGGGGAATATCAGAGGAGAGATAGGGCTTTACCCATTCGTGTGGTCTTTTCTTTTCTTTTATTTTTTTACTCCATTTTCCACGTCACATTGTAAGGCACGTTGTCAACCCATTGTAAGAGCAGTGGGAACGTTGCATATTTGGTTAGGGGAAAGAATGCATTTTAAATAGTAGATTGATAGAGAACGTGTAAGTAAAAATTAAGACAAAGTTTTGGGTTCGTGTAGTAATATTATTTTATTGAATAATGTGTAATTGAAAATGAGTTTTGAAAAATGAATTTTTAGAAGAATGGGGATCAAACAAGAGCTTAATTAGTTATATATTTACCTTTAACATGAATCATTGTGATCTTGGTTGAATCCATTAGTTAGGAATTCAAGGTACTTTCATTAAATTATGTTGGCGTTGTTGAAAAGTAAACGTTATTGAGATGAGTAGTCTAATTTTTTATATGTTGGTTAATGATAAATATTTACATTTTCAATACATTTATTATTATCATCATCATTTAATTTACTATACCAAATATATTGATGTAAAACAAGTGAAGACTCAAGGGCAGAGCTAGGATTGTAGAGTTTTGAGGCGAATTTCTATAACTATAATCATAAGGGAAAAATTTTGAAGTACAAAATTTTAATTACGAGGGCATGATCAATAATTATAAGGTATTTAAAATAATATTTGTAAGATTTGAAATTGAGTTGGGAGAACAGCTGACCTAAAGCCCCATATTAAACCAAATTTATACACTTATTTGGACCTAAATAATTCTTTTGAATAACTATAACCTAATTTATTGTATATTTAATTTTTTTTAGAAAAACTCGATGAATAGATGTAGAATTGAAAGGAAGAAGTGAAAATTGGTGAAAAAGGACAAGATCTCAAGTTTGGAGACCAAAATGTAAATACTCAAAAGTTGTGTTGGACTTCACGATGAAGATTTGAGAATGCTAGGGTCAATTGGATACAATTAAAAGTAAAAAGGAGTGTAATATGACCAAAATATTTTCACAAATCAATTTTTAGCCGCACAAGGATGTTCCGAATTTTTATTTGTAATTTAAGACCCAATTTTATCCTAATAAAGTTTCGAATTGAAAAAGAGCTATTTCAGTAAAATTGTAGCCCTTTGACTTATCAAGAGAGAGTTATGATAAGAATACTAAAAGGTATATAGTGTTGAATTTTTGCCCAAAATGTGACTTCGAAGGGCTTCCCATGATGCCTTTGCGGCACCACTACACCAATTGCATGGTGCCTAGGCTTCTCTGCTTTTGTATAGAGCTCGAATTTTTTTGTCAATTTAAAGCCTAATAAGATTCCAAATTCAAGAAAAACGTTAAAGAAAGTACAAATACAAGAATTAAGGCACTTTTAAAAGGTTCTACACTTTAGACCTAGCAATAATACTTGAGAATTAAAAGAGCAAGTCAAAGGAGAAAAAAAATTAAGAAATCAAGGTTTTCAGATTGATTGGGGCAAGAAGATAATCTTGGTGTAAGATTTATCCACTTATCTTCATCTTTATTCAAAATTCGGTGATGTACTCACTGAATATCTATTGTTTTTACTTATATTATGAGTAGCTAACTTCTTTATTATTTGAGACCCTTTATTTCTTTTCTTCAAGATTCTAGTTCTTTCAAATGACATTTGTTGATTTTATTTATTAGTTTAATGCTATGAATTACTTGGCTAATAATTCAATGATTTTATGCATCTATTACAATTGGAGAGGTGAATTTTAGATTTAGACAACATAATAAAATTCAAGAATTTAGAATAAAACATAGAGATACTTATGTTAGTTATTGAGGTTGTTACATGAAGTCTTGGAATAGAATAGTGTTTAACTGAGATCAATTCACATGAAGATATGAAATTGAATTATTAATATAGACTCAATGAGAAGTTGAGTGGGGTAAATTGAATAAGTAGAAGAATTCGATCAAACACTACATTGGATTTGTGATTCTTGATTTAAGACTTAAAAGTAATCAATAGATAAAATTGTGAGCCGTAATATTCATTCCATATTGTATACTTGTGATAGCCAAAAATGCAACATAAATCCGCTCCTGTGAGGACTATAAGTTCCCTTTCCCTAGTTTAAACAATTTTTACTTCCTTCTCCTTCAGTAATTCTCTTCATTTTACTCAATTGAAAACATAAATGTGGGGTCATTTTTCTACCCAACAGATGGAATAATGTTAATAAATATTTTAAAAAAATTACATTTATCTCACATTAATTTTAGAGTCCTATTAAAGTAAAGAATTATTAAAATCGATAATAATCAAAATTTCACAAGCAAATCGCCTCAAATATATACTAAGATCTATTTGACATTAAGCATGAATCCAAAAGAATAAGAGCTCAGTTTACTCTCATTTCATCTAACAATTGACCCCTCAACCATTGTTGTTTTTATACTTGAGCTGGGTCAAAGTTGGTGAGAAATGTTCGAATCTTATAAACCCTTCAGTTTTTTGGGTCAAATGTCCTGAAGTCCAATTAAGATACGTCATTTCCCTAAAGTTGTTTGGCAACGAAAGTCCAACAACAACAACAACAATAACAATCACAATAACAATAAAATAGCAATAACAATAACAATAATAATAAGAACAACAACAACAATAGCAACATCAGTAGATATATTATTGTTATTTTTAAGGACTCAAGCCTAGAAATATATAAAAGAATGAGCTATATTATAAGACTTAATTATTTATGAAATAAAAAAGGTTCAGCCCAACTATACATAAAAGTGAATAGGCGTAATATGCGAAATTTAAATCAAACAAATAATAACATGCAACAAGTCACAAAAATTAATGTATCTTGATGAAATGTAAAGTAAATTTAAACCCTAATAATCAATCAAGCATATATATCAAAATAGTAAAGTAACAACAAGGTTTATTTTCAAAAGAAAACCCCTTGAAGAACTCTTCAAGAGATTGGGCACTCCTTATCAATAAAAGATTCATCAGAAAAGATTTGACTTATAGCTGATCTAAACAAAACTAAATCTTAGTAGACTCTGACCATCCAACCAATAATTATCGAAGAACTCCTTGATTGTACATTCATGTACCTTCCAGAACCTTTCAACTTCTTTTTCTTTTTGTGAATAGCCAAGAACAAACTCATTCTTCACAAACTAGAACTCTATTCACTTCTCTTGATCTTCAGAACTCTAAATGCTGTTTGGTAAATGATTTTATTAGTGTTTGATCTTTTGGTATTGTTTGTGTTTTGATCTCGTGGTTAAGATAATTATGGAATTGATGTTTGATCGTCTACAAGATGTTCTTTTAAATGAATAAAGGCTCAACACGATATAGGGACGAACTGTGGCTTGGGTATTTATAATATGAAGTGCTTGAAGTTGTTTAGGATTGTAAAATAGCTAAAAATCGAGATTAGGGTTTAATCAATTAACAAGACCACTCAAGTAGTCATGTGGCGCATAGGGAGCAGTAATGTCACTGTTAAAACTGCTTGAGTGGTTACAAAGCAGTCAACGAACGATTTTGTCTCATCTTGATTTTCTTGAGCTAACTTTGATTCCTTCTAAAGACAATTTTGATCCCCAACAACTCAACCCTAATTACAACTCGATTAATTGACATTTTGAATATGGAAACTTGCTAATACACTTTAGAACTAACAAACTATTCGTTTGGCATTCTATGACAAAATTATTTATTCTAAAATTAGACAATAAGCACAACCTAACTTTCATCAACCAAAAACTCAAATTTAAACTTGCTTTTCTCAATTGCTTGTCATACATGTTTCCTGAAATTATCAAATCACACAATTCCAAGTTTAAAGCATGAAAAAATTGATATAAAGCACATAACTAAACAATATATACAACATAAGTAAAAACATGTAACATCACATGCATCAATAACTTAGTAACTAAAACATGGAAACCGAGACAAAACACCAACACAATATCAATATTAAAATCTCAAGATGTTTGCTACTCAAATAAAATTAACACTCCTACCCCCTTAAATCAATACTACTAACATTCCTGAAATAAATACTGTAACTCCCACTCTTGTCATAAATAATAAAGATAAATGAGCAACATAATCATGAATGACACACTACTTATGCACCTTGATGGAACTTGACCTAGAGACACACATGTATATGTTGATTGAAAAACTATATAAAACATGTAATGAGAGAATAAATTTTTTAAATAACACCTTTTTAAACATAACATCATGACATGAAAACTCAACTCACGTTATCACATGGATAGATATTTGATTACTTATATAGGTATAGTTAATGAAAAATGAACTCTTCCCATAATACTCATTATAAAAATTATGTGAAGCAAATTATGTAAGAGATCAATGTGTGAAAAGTGTCACTAATATCATGTGAATAAGACTCAAAACCTTAAATTTATGAGAAAAAGACATGCATAAGAAGTCACTGATGAATGAATATTTTGCTCAAATAATGAAAGTTAAACCTAGTGCCACTAGGACCTTTTAAACAAAATAACTTTTATTTAATTATGTATTATTTTTTCTTCTCATATCTATGAGCACATTTTTTTTATATTTTAATTTTCTTTCTCATATCTTATATACAGACTTTTCTCCTTTAAGCATTTTAAATAACCATTTTAGCAAGTTTTAGGTCGATGACTCTCAAGTTAGATGACTATACGGCACCAGACTTTAGATATAATCACTCGAATCATAATGACTTCAAAAAGAAGTATAAGATGTATCACTTTCTCTATTAACATGGAATTCAAATCTTTTAAAATTCATTGTTGCTCTCTGCATGGGGGATATACTAAAGTTTAGTTAGCTAGTTAAAGATCAATCCATATTCAAGATCACCTCACTACATCGATTGTTGCCATTCTATATCTCATACATATGGTCAAGACCCACTTACAAGAGCTTAGTGTATATAGTGCTGATAATACCTGAAGAAACCTATAATAAGTACTCTATACAAGTCATAAAAAAATTAATGAAAACTTTCATCACTATTCAT